TTGAATGGCGAAACTTCGGCGAGTTCGCTTGAGTTTGGAAGCCCCTGCCGGAGAACTGGAGACGGCCGGATTATTTGCTGGACAGTGGGCAGCGCAGATGGCGATTGACGGTGCCAAAAAGATGATAGGGGAAAAGGAGTTGAGACTTTAGTAGTGAATTATAAGCCTGTTGCATAGCTGAGTGGTAAATTGTAAAATACTAAGGGTTTGAAGAGATGCAGTGTAGTTTAGCCGACTCGGGGGCATTCTGCCGAGTTATGTAAGGCGGAAGGGTCGCAACTCGCAAGTCGTTTGTTTCCATGATTGCCTGATTAAAATGTAAAGCGTATCTAATGTTTAGTTGATAATACAGCGAGGTTGGGCATCTGCTCAATCCATTTCTTCTCTGCAATAGTGCATTCGCCACTGTAATTCATTGTAAGAGGACTGGGCTGCGCCGCCTGTTAATTATTCCGAAACCACCAGTGAATTCATTTGCTGTCGTCACAGTCACTCACAACAATACGAATCGTTCAGTCGTGCGCTGAGGGTCCGCCAAGTTTAATTGCGCTGCAGAATGCAGACTGGACCGCCGAGAATATAACACTTCCGTCTCCCTGGGCGAGCGGCGCATTGGAGCCGAAGGAAACTGCTTCAGTTTTTTTTTTGTGGGGAGGATACCCATGTTTGAAAATTATGTTATGGAATGGTGTGATAAGGAAAAGGACGGTTTCTTGAATTGAGGGCTATGGAGAAGAGGCAGATTTCTCATTTGCTACCCGATGCAACGCGAAAAGACGCAAATGTTGCACATTGGGCTTAATATGTCTAATAAAAGATAAGGGACTTCGTGAATCATGCCTAATTGACCGCGACCAAGTTATTTGCCAATGCAGGTAGGCACTAGGTAGGTAGATGGTACTCATTTGTGAACAGAACGTTCCACCACCCCTCGCCAGAAATTCAATCAGCAGTTGCTTATTAAAACGTTTGAGTGCACCTGACAACCTTTAACCCGCGCCCTGATGGGGGGGCCATTTTGGCCCCCCCCCCCTGTGGTTTTTCTTAAATAGCGAGAAAACGGCGGCGCGCAGCGCCGCCAAATTTTGGGTACCTTACCGGGCATCAATTTGACACCTTCACACAAAATTTCAAGTTACAGGTCACCTCAGGTCAGGAGTTATTGAGGTCAAACTGAGGTCATGTTCGAGCAAAAATGAGCAAAAAACATGACATCTTGAAACGCTCACCAATTCTACAGTTAACAAGCAATTTTAAAGTTCTTTATGTGGTTGTGTAGAGAAAAGACGGCGCTACAAAACTGCTATCTCGAATTTTCGAAATTTTGGGATTTTGACCCCCAAAAATAAAAAATTGATTTTTTTAGAAAAACTCAAAAAATTTCCAAAAATTTTTCGAATTTCGAAAAAACCGGAATATATGTGATAGTCCCTGCGCTCTTCGATATACATACCAAATTTTAGATTGATACCTCTTTTTTTGGCCAAGTTATAGCGAAAAAACTGTTAAAAATTGATGACGTCAAATTTTTGAACTCAATTTTTAGCAATTCTAGACCTCGTAGCGCAAAACGGAGACCACCATTGAACTCCCCGTGACGAGCTGCATCGAATCGATACCCATTTTATGCAAAAATATCAACTTTGAAATTTGACCTAATTTGACCTGACCTTGACCTGATCTTGACCTGACCTTGACCAAAACGTGACCTAAGCTGGCCCTAAAGTCTGTCTGACCCACATAATCGCATTTGTCATGTAAAATGGACCATAAAACATGTATCACACGACACTTTCATATTGTGACCCCCCAGTGACCTGAGCTCTGTGACCTGACCTGGTATCAGTGACCTCAAATAGCAAAATATGTGTTTGAAGAACATTTCTCCATCGATGATTTTCAATGAAATGCATTTTACTCGAGTTTACAACGCATTTCTTGAAATGCCTGTAAACGGTGAAAATTCGACCTTTGACCTGACCTGTGACGTCATCGGTTTGACCGAGGTCAATGAAATTGGGTCACAAGGTAGTTCCCCGCTGGGGCTATCCAACACCGTTTACCGCTTGTCGCTATGTTGCGTGGTTCTCGAGATCTGAGGGGGGGGGGGGGCCAAAATGGCCCCCCCCCCATCAGACCGCGTTGCTCGGCAGACCCCATCTGGGCGCGGGTTAAAAATGACGTCCTCCCTTTCAATGGTTCGTGCGAAGACACAAAGCCAGAATCAGCCAAGCAATATCGGAATCCATTGCGCAGTGTGTCGGATGTGCCCCAAGTTTTCAATCCACATAGCATAGCACACACTGCTAAATGCAGGTACGCTCACCTACACATTAGGTATTCGAAGGACTTAATAGCTCATACACATGGAAGAAACACATGAAATGTGATTTATAGCTGCAGCAGATGTTTGGCGTCCGATGCCTCTTCGCCAAGTTAAGACCATGCCAATCTCGGCCAGTCTGCCGCTGCGCCGGCACTGGCCGTGGTGTGACGTCATCCGGCCGGCTCGGCGCTGGGTAGTTCCACACTTAGGTAACTCGCCACCGGCTCGGTCAGCCGTTAATAGCCCGTTACGAACGTCAACACTCAACATCCTGCACGGCTGACCTTGAGCGCGGCCGCTGACCGGTCCGACTTGGTCCGGCCTGGCGACTGGCAGACTGGCCTTCTGCCCGGCCTGGCCCACCCAAGTGACTGACAGTCATTTTAGACTAGTCTGGCCTTCTGCCCTGTCCGGCCTGGTGACTGGCAGACTGGTCTTCTGCCCGGTCTGGCCCGCCCTGGGCCGCCCTAGCGACTGACAGTCTCTTTAGACTAGTCTGACTCTCTGCCCTGTCTGGCCTAGCGACTGTCACTTTAGACTAGTCTGACTCTGCCCTGTCCGGCCCGGCAGCTGACTGACTGATACACGGATACGCACCGTCTTTGAAGGCTGACTGCCATTACTCGCCGCTTATAGACAAAAGAACATGCGAAGGTCAGCCTGTCAGGAAGGCGAACCCCTCCCTCTTCACTCACTGTGAACTTGGAGAGACTGACGGGTTTAGTTAACGCCCCGTCCCCAACTCCTGTCAGCTGTCATGTGTAGCTGTCTGTCAGGGCTGACAACTGTCATGTATCACTGACTGTCGGGGCTGACAACTGTCATGTGTCACTGGCTGACAGGGCTGACAGCTATGTATGTAACTGCAGTGTCAGCGGACCGGCCGCGGGCCGCTCGAGCGCTCCCCAGCATAGAGTGGTGTGCTGATTTCACTCGGCACCTGGCCTAACCAGTGAGCTCACTATCCTATTGTTTTTGTTACGAAACAGATTACCATGAAGGTGGCTGGGTACGTGACAAAGACGTAGGCGAGTCCAGAAATAGACTGGGTCTTGTGAACTTTAGACAGACCACTGTTGGCAAGATCTCGCGTTGCGTGAAGGGACGGCCAGCGCTTCGACCGTGTATGGAAGCACATGACTAAGCCATTGCTGGCTTCTGTCTGGGTTCGGCGCGCTGGCTGAACCCCTGGCCGTGTGGCTTCCTCGGCTGGCCAGTCGCTGATGCCGCCTCAGGACGGGACTATTTGCGCCCAGGGGCCCTTTGTTACGGCTGAACCCTGGGGCCGGTATCCACCAGACTGCCCTACCTGCCGAGTCGGACAGAGCTGGCTAGTGGCTAGTCAGACTGGGCTCGGTATCACGGGACTGAGTCGCGTGCCTTAGACCGGATCGGAGCCGGCCACTCGAATAACGCTGTCTCGATGTCGGCACCGGTACACCACCTGCAATGGCGCAGTTGCCAGTACACAGCCGGCTTCCTAAGTCACATTGCAAAGGTATGAAATTTTAAGGAGGTTATGCTGAGGTTATGCTATGCCATGCTGAGTATTTGCACTTTGTTATTTAGGGTTGCAGCTTAACGAGTTTGATTTGTTAATATTTCGGCATGAATGGAGTCTTTAGATAGTTGGCTTGTAGCGATTCCTCACCTTTTCCCGCATTATTTTATCGTCCCTGTCCCTACCCCCTTCCCCCCGTCATAGTTATTCTACCCCAAATCAACATGTTTGACAATGTAACACCGGCACGGCCTATCATATTTGCTGGTGCATAATTTCACGGGAGTGCTGTCAAGTACGTGCTGCAGCCCTTCTGCGGATGTCACCGACCTGCGTCATCATTGCATCCACGTCCCGTGACCTGATATAACCGGCCACAGCCGGACTATGCTACGGCGAGACATGGAAATGATGCCAAAAGGGGCTGCTGTTGGGGGAAGTGTGTCTGGGTTGTTTTGAATGATAATGTGAGAAGTGAGCATTGTAGTTAGTTCCGAAGTCCTGCAGCCAACATGCTCAACTTTGTACTTCAGCTCTGTGCTGTCAAGATCAGCTTTTGTCGGGAAACTTCGAGGTCATGTGCCATTTGCATACATGATTTTGATGTCAGTGAATGGCTGACTCGGCCTCGGAAAGTCCATCAGGGCCGACCATGCGTGACCCCATCAGCTGAGGATCACTGCATTTATAACAGGGATTGGGATATCCAAAAAGTCGGCGAGCAGTGCATTAGGGATATGATGATTTCCAAAGCTCTCACTACTCGTACAATGTAATACTACGTTAAAACTAGACCCCTCGGGAATCACACACTTCCTCTAGGCACGACTGGTCTGTTATAAGAAAAAAAAACTATGTTAGCTTGAGCTTCCATGAATCGGCCATATCTTAGATCAACTTGGATAACTTAATTCATTCGTGCACATCTGCACAAGCCTCAGATTCTGTTTTGATCATGTTGATGGTCCGACCAACACCTGCGCCGAATCCGACAAAGTCGGCACGCCAAATCAGCATGACCTCTGACCTCTGTCAGTTGTCACCTGCTCTGGCTCCTGCGACCCCTCTCTGACCCCTGTGACCTCGCTCTGACCCTCTATGACCCCTCTGACCCCTGTCACCCCCCTCTGACCCCTGTAACCCCGCTCTGACCTCTGCCCCCTTCCCTTGCAGCGGTGCGTCCGGACATGGAGGCAGGCGCCGAGGAGCCGGAACCCAGTGAGCTGTTCGGCGACCTCGGTACCCTGGTGGTCGAGGGACGCACCCCCGGCGGCCAGCGCGGCTTCCACGAGGGCCCGCACTGCGTGCTCGTCTACCCGTACCGACAGAATAAGCACGTCTGCGATGCCAACAGCGTCGTGGTGAGTTGTCAGCCACATCACGGGTCGGTCATGTGTGTTTGGTGTGAGCGTTCGCGTTGTATTTCACCGGCAGTTTGTTGTTCCGTGTAGCTGGCGTGTTTTAAGATAAACCCGATGACGAGTTTGGTGGCAACGTCGTCACAAAGGGGTTCTGAGGAGGCCAGGCTGGGGTATTTTACGTGTTGAGTAGTTGCGCAATATTAGTAGAACGCTGTGAGGTTTTGGCGATAAAGCATGCCAAAGTGTTGCGTGCTTAGCACCTCGTAATTGTCCCGCAAGTGGGACGTTTCCTCTAAGATCTGCGATACAGACCAAATGCTTATTCTTTTTTTGGCTCAACTGCGCCATTGTTTGAATCCAGGATGTCACTAAATCAGTGACATATCCTGTTCTGTCTTATATATTATACGAACTCATATTTTAGCGGTCTCAAAATGGTATGTCATGGTCTCACATAGCTTTCACCTGTTGTGTTAGACATTGAACCTGTTTTATGCGAGTTGAGTAGACCGACATCCTCCTACAAGTAGAGCAACCTTACGCACCTTCTTTAAAGGACTATGCATTATGCAATGGAAATTCGGTTAGATATGCCACCCGTTCGTACTCCTCTCAGCCCAGGGCAGGGCCTTTGGCCCCTGTCAGCTGGTTTGGTAGCACATTGTATGACGTCACCGGCCACCTGCTAACCCCGTGTCCTCCCGTGTTTCCCGGTCACTGCACCGGTCGCCCTGTGCTGTTGCCAGCTGGCTCGGGCACCCCTCCGGCTGACTCTCACTGTCCCAGCTCGCACCTGGGCCTGATGACAGCCTGGCATTCCCCACCCGACCTGGCGAGTGGCCGGTGGGTTCGGAGAGGTCGCGCCCTACAGGCTATTCCCGGTCGGAGCTGCCCCTGAGGTCAGCACAGCACAGCGGGACCTTCAGGGACGCTGGTTCACGCTGGTTGGGGCTCTCTTGGCAAGGAGGGCCAGATCAGTCGTCTATTCTTTTAGAAGGATCGTGATGTTGCCAGTCCTCAGCTCATCCAGACCACTGGACCTGCGTAACGTTCCAGTGAGCCTTTGCTGTTACGGTTGTGATGCCTCCCCCCCCCCCCTATGTAAGTCAAGTGAAGTTAAGCTCTCTTTTTCTAAATCAGGCATGCCTTCAGTTCGTAGCGTGCCAGTAACACCAAAAGTTATGAGTCTCTAGAGTCTAGAGTTCCTGTGATCTGAGATTGACGTTTGCTGTAGTCCCAAATGGCTTCTGCGCCGACCCAAGCGGTCTTCCCCGTTCTGTTCATATTTGACTCGTTGTGTAGAAATCTGCCAAACTTTGGATAGAACCGTCGATGGCCTCAAAGTGCGGAGAGAGACCTACCAAACAGGCTGTCGTCCAAAGGAACGGCAGTGGACGATGGCTTCGCTTTTTGAACAGCTGACAAGCTGTGGACAAGGACGCGGCGGACAATGATGTAGCTTTGTGGAAAGCTGCTGATTAGTGGACAGGGTACCGGATGACAGTGGACTTTTGTCTCTCCGACTGGGAGGCTACATGGCTTCAGCACTGACGGAGCAATAGAGACAATAGAGAAGTTTTTAGTTGAGAAAGGACGACTGAATCGGTGACTGCAACGACATAATGTTGCGTGCCGTGGTGAGGGAGGGATAGGTGTAGAGTGAGTGAGTCGCCTTTGCGCAAACTCACGCCGTCTCGTCTGACAAATGGAACAGGTTCTGCGACACCGGCTCCGAAGGTCGGAGAGCGAGCCAGCACAGCCAGCCTTGGCGGCGCGCCGGCCGCCTAAGCCTCATGAAATGAGATTCACACGGCACCCCAGGGCGAGGGAGTGCCCGGGTCGCCGTGACCGGGCCTGTGTGGGCAGTGCGCCCAGGGGTGTCGCTGAGCCCCGCTGACGGCGATAGGAAGGCAAACTGAACGGCCGTTAGTGCTGCTGCAGTGAACATCGCATGACGGGCCAGTTTCCCTCGAAATGCCTGTTTACCATGTCGTGCGCCCAGTGGACCCGAAAGGCTGGCGCGTTTTTGTCTTTGCTGGCGAGGCCATGTCTTTGTTGTGCCAGGCTATGACGGCCGTCGTGGTGTGCTGACATTGGCTGAGCGAGTGCCAGTCGCCAGTTATCGCAGCCGGCTGGGTTTTCAGAAAGACGAGACACAGAGATGGGCTACCGCGGGACCCCACTCGCTCCCACTGCATCAAAAAAGCGAGTAAATCGGGCTCAAACGGCGACCGCCCTGATTTCTGGGTATCTTTCAGCCGGCTTCCTCGTATCTAATAACAGCACGAGTCGGAGCAGGCCTCTGGGAGCGGGCGCAGGTGGCTGTCAGGAGGAACTGCGGCGGCCCAGCTGGGCTGTTTGGTGCGCCCCAGCCGGCCGGGCGCCGCGGCCCGCCCGTCTGTTACTCGGTCCGTGTGCCAAACGAACTGATAGCATCACAGCTCGGTGGCGGCCGGGCTGGGGAGAAGCCAGCGTGTTACACAAACAAGACTGCCTGGCTGTGGCGCCAGCCCACACTGAACCAAGTGATGGGTCGTGGGTAGGCCGCGACGCACCAGGCTACGCCGCTTCGAGAGCGCTGGGCTGCGCTCACCGCCGGATGCCTCTGAATAGGATCACTAATGGACAAGTCCGCGAACTAATTTCACTTTGTGCGAACTCGGGATGGCCTGCGGGCCGGCGTTGGTCGGTCGTAGAGAGCTCTCCTGAGGCGGTGCCAACCAGTGAGGTAATCCGAGTCATGGGCTAAGTCCATTGGCCGAGGCTGCAGTCACCGAGTTTCATTCAGGCGTCAGTTTTGGCCATAGAGGCCTATGGAAAGAATGTGGCCTCTCGCAATTGTGAAATACACAACTGCTGCGTTGGAGTAATGCGATTTTGAGACATTGCTGGCTATCAATTCGGTTGACGCATTCGGTACCTATTGTTGGTTCCACAAACGGGCACCTCTACTTTTCCGTACGCATTATCAGCATTTTGTCCTATGAACTGTCCTCGTTATGGCCTATCAGTCATACCACACAGGTAGGCGGTAGCCATAACACGGCACTTGAAGTGCTTTAGCTGACCGGTCAGTGGCCGACACGGTATCTCTATACCTGAACTCTGAGCGTCGGAGTAGAGATGGCCTGATGTTTACATTCTCATCCACGTTTTTTTACGACGGCGCGATGAGCTAAGCAGCTAGTTTGATATCTGTTTGTCTCCATGGGAGACAAGTGGGGTGATGGTGAAGTCTGTTCAGAGTTCGGGGTGCTAAGGAGATTCTTCTGTTCGTCTTCTACATCTATTGTATTAACTCATGCGTTCTGCGGGCACATCGAGATGTTAAAACAGGATCCTCTATCGATCACTTACATTAATTAATTGAATTGAACGTTGTGGTTCTTGTTGGATCTTGTTTTACTGCGATATGACGTGCTAACCCTGTACTCGGCATTCCCAATTTGAGCGTAGGCTACACACACCCTCTGAATGCCATTGTGTCCCGTTCTAACAAACACCCGTACCTTGTCTACCCCACAGTGTCAGCGGGAGAGCGAGCTGCGGCGCTACATGTACCTCCTCTGGCGGAACAACATCCCCATGTCCGTGGAGGTGCTGCTGTGCCCGCCGTGCTGCCACGGACGGAGCCGAGCCGCCGCTGTGGACGCCACCCCGGAGCCGGGCTATCTGCTGCTCGAGCAGTGGACGGTGCACATGGAGACGGCCACGTAAGGACGGCGCAGGACGAAGGCATGGTATTGGTAGCCTAGGTTATCTTAGGCGCCAGACCCTACAGCTCCCTCGAGGACACGGGAAGGATTTACCGTGCACAGTGCGTGTGCTAGCTAGCCTTGTTGCGGGGCTAGTTTTTTTTCCATATAGGCTTTATTTACACATACAACACATACAACATACAACAGTCATCATCATGAACATGCAACTGCACAGTCAGGTCAGTTCCAACTCCAAAAAGGAACCCCTCGGAATCCTGCCCCGCCCCGCATCGCCCCGCAAACTACGTGTATAACACATCCTCGTTCTCGCTGGGGCGATGCCCCAGGCCGCCGGCCGGGCCCGCGACCCGTCACCCTGATAGGGTGGCGAGCCGCGCGCCCGGCCGGCCGGCCGACCCTTTATAGGGCCGGCCTCCGGTTAGCCGGGTTGGGTTAGGGGCGGGCAGGGCACGCTATACCAAAGAGGCATCTACTTGAAGTGTATGAGTGTTTGTGTTTGTTTGTGATATGTGTTTGTGTGTGTAGGGGTGTGTGCGTGTGTGTGTGTGTGTTTGTAGGGGTGCATTTGTGAGGGTGTTTGTGAATGTGTGTTTATGTTTCATGTCTTGTTTTATGAACTGCCTTCTATCTCGTACTAGACAAAAGCGTGAGAAACACGGACTATCAGTGCTCTGGCTCAGTGTCTTCATGTGAATTTGGCTCTAAAATGTTTTTTTACGGCACCCCACTTATCGTTAAAAGTCGACAATTTACCTTGGATCCTTGCGGATCCCATTTCTTTTTCAGCCTCTATCCGAAGCATATGTAAAAGGTGATCGACGTTCGGTTGCTGACCTTTGCTTCTGGCTTTGTATATCACTAACTTAGCAATTGTTATTATTAGCACTTCTATTTTGCTAATCTTTTCTAGCGTCGGGAAGAACCAACTTTTTCTATCAAACATTATTTCTAAGCGAAACGAGTTTTGCAAAATTGCTTTGAACTGCTGAATGAAATCTTGAACTTTAGGACACATCCAGAAAAGATGTATGAGAGTTTCACAATCACTTAAGCAAAATGTGCATGCAGAGTTTTCTATCACGCCTATCCTATGTAAGAATCTGTTTATTGTGAGTATTCTAGTTATTAATCTGAAATGGAATGATTGCAAATATGTATTTTGTGTTACAATTCTCATGTCATTCGTACTTCCTTCTAGTGCTAAATCAATGTCACGCATCCACTTTCTACTCCAGTTAGCTTGAGAGTCTTTATATTTGTTTCGTAATGACTTGATAAACTCATAATACGCTATCTTTGATATTTTGCTTTTTCTCGCCAATAAAGCTATCTTGTATGGGATAAGAGGTAAATTTAATTGATGACGAACTGCTAAGTTACGTATTTCGGAAGGTAGACTTCTAACTAATGACTGATAACATAAAAATGTCATTCTCACTCCGTATCTTCGTGCTAGTTGTTCTCTCGTTAAAAGTGCTCCCGATTCTAGATCTATTAAGTCATGAATGAACCTCAGTCCTTTACCGTCCCATTTAGTAACTTTGTCATATGTAAACTTAGTATAGTTAGAACACCATATCCAGTCAGACAACATCCGCTCGGGGTTCACTTGATGCATTTCCATGAAGTCTCCCCATGATCTTGCAACCTCAGCCCAAAACTGATTGGGGATAAGTTTACTCTCTTTATTCACCTTTTTGCAGCCGTATCTTTCAATAAACTCTACATTAGGAATCTCTTTTTTTTATCCATCCTGCCCAGCTGTTATTTGACCAATGCAGTCTTTGAACCCAACTTACTTTCATACTCTTGATAAAAGACCACAGATCTATCATTTTCAGTCCATCATGATGATAACCTTGAATAATTTTCGTTCGCTTGACGAGGTCGTTGCGGGGGGTCGTTGCGGGGCTAGTTCGTATGCAAGTGATACAATGGTCACCGTCAGCCAGTGTCTGCGTGTCGCTGCCCAGGCTCAGGGAAGGGCAGAACTGGTTCGGTTGATAGGGAGTTGTCCAGACCATGATGTAGGAGCGTGACACGCCCTAGCAGCGGACACAGCATTTGCATTACAATGGTGCTGGGACTAAGTGGGACGGGGTGTGCGCGGCGAATCGTGACTGGTAAAGAGGTCATGGATTTGACTCTCCGGGCGCGGATGTAGCCACTGGGCACTGATCGCTGATCGCTGACCACTGACCGCTGACTACTGACTTCTTACCAATGACCAATGACCACTTTCCCCTGACCACTGACCGCCCCTCCCCTCTGTACCCACAGTCGATGCCACCGGTCGTCAGTGGGCGCGCGGGCACTGCTGCAGGCCGTCTACTCCTACCTGCACTTCTCACAGCTGTCAGCGTGGCTGAGTCGCAGCGGCGGCGCGGTGCCCAGCAACGTCATGTATCGCATCACCGTGCCTGGAGACGCGTTTGGTACGCGGTTCGCGGGCGGGACGCCGCAGCTGCACACGTTCCCGACGGCGTACCTGGCGCGGGACCGAACTCTGGTCCAGGTGAGAGGGTGATTCTAACGGCTATCTGGTCCGGGACCGGACCGTGGTCCATGTTACTACTGGGCCTTTTGGTCCGAGACAGGATTATTGGTTACGGTAAAAGGGTCACTATACGGCGGCACGCATTCCGGTCCTTTATGCAAGGAGTCATTGACAGATCTATCTCGTTCCTGTTCCGGCTTGTGGAGTGTGGCGTCCTCTGCCGTTTTCCTGCTGTGTCTGTGACGGTGTCCGCGCCGCTTCGTCCGCCATCCGCCGGCTCTGACCACGGCGCCCGACCTCTCCTGTACGGCAGGTCAGCGTACGCGCTCTGCCGCGCTGCGATGCCGTGCCCTCGATCCCGTGCGCCTCGTGTCGGGCCGGCGAGGTCGAGCAGCCGCTGGGGGCGTGCGCCGCGCCGCTGCCGGCGCCCCCGCCCGGCCCGGCCGCCGGCGCCGACGCCGCCACCGACCAGTGGTAGGTGGCGGCCGATCAGCGGCCTCCAGCGGCGGCCGCTCGGATGACCGGGGGGCGTACTGAGTATTATTTGTATGAAGCGTATTTTGGAAGCTTCGTGTATGGTTAGGTTTTTGCAACAGCATACGGCACTCGTTGAAACGGCATTTGGGTAACGATTACGATCTGAAAGAAATCAGTGCGAACTTTCAGTTGTTTGTATGATGGCTGACTACCTGTGTACCGTAGCACTCATCCTGCCTTATATTTCCCGCTGGTAGGTTGACTGACCGTGTATCAACTGACCTGTGGAACTCCCTTTCCGTTCCTCCCCTTTATTCTTTCCAGGACGGCGGACGATCTCCGTCGCAGCATCATCAAATGCCGACTGCAGGGGGCTCTGTCCGACTCCCGCGACTCCCTGCTGGGTGACTCACTACTGGACCCGCCGCGGAGTCTGCACAAGTACCCGAAGCGGTACCAGAGTCCCAGCCGGTCCGGCTCCCCCAGTCTGGAGACGCCCGAGCACCTGATGTTCGGCGGTAGCCGCGAGAGCAGTACCGAGAGGCGGGGTGAGTGGCTGTAATGGTACAGATGAGTTGTGGCGGAATGATTCCTGTGGCTAGTTGGGTATGAAATATGGATGACTTGTAAGGGTGCGGAGGATCTCTCGGGGTGAGTTGAGAAAAGCGTACCTGCTGAATGTTGAGCCTCACAGTGCCGGGCTTATATAGGGACTCAAAGCCATCCGACTACCAAAGCGCGCAAACTGTCTGTGCCTAACCGAACAGCCGAAGCACCAGCTTTGCTTTGCTACCGAACAATCTCTCTGACAGTCTGGTCGAATCCGCACTCTATGCACCTAACCCCGTTCCCCATTATGACACCCAATTCTGACAGCCGCTGTCGTTGTGTCCGCAGCGGACACCCTGAGCCGGCGGGTGATCACGGACCAGTGCGCCGCGCCGGACCTGGCCTGGACCCAGGGCCGCGCCACGTGGCGCTCCGACGCCAGCCCGCCGCCGCCGCAGCGTCCCGACCTGTACCGGCACCGGCGCAGTCCCAGCCGCGAGCACCGGCGCGGGCACTTCTACGAGGTGCACCACGCGCCGGCGCCGGGCGGCGGCAGCCCGCTGGATGGCAGTGATGACGCCCACCGCAGCCCGCGACAGTCGCGGCGTAGTTATAAGGACGAGTACCGGGTACCACCGGATGGAGAACGGACGGTCGGGGAGCCAGAGGAGGAGAGACTGGCCGCTGAGCCGGCGCCGGCCGCCGACCGGCTCTGCCAGAGCGAGCGGCGCATACAGCAGGTGCAGACAGAGGTGGGTACACTGACCGATCGCGAATGATGGCGCGGTAAAGTGGGGCAGCGTAAGCTAACTTTGCTTGTGGGACACCGCCGCACCTTTCAGTGATACGCTGAAAGCCGGAAGATATTTTTAACACTACGCTTAAAGAGAAAAGTCGTGGCAATTAATGTTTTATCATGTGTCGTACAAGTTCTGATGCATGTGTTCGTCTCCTTACTAACCGTGTCGATGCGTTTCTCAGCGGTCGCAGCCGGTACCTCGGCGCAGTCCTCAGCGCAGTCGCAGTGACTGTAGTGCTGTGTTCCGGCTAACGCCCGACGAGACACAGCAGGTGGTCGCTGTCCTCAGGTAAGATCCATACATGACATAGCCTGACCACCGCCGAGAGGGTTTAAACCGCAGCGCCTAGCTCGGGAAGGTGTAGGGAGAACACTCAAGTGGAGCTGTGTCGTTGTTGGTAGCTCTTGTTTTCTTTTTATGGGCTGCCCATGTCGTTAAGCCTCGTGAAATAATGTTAGATTTTCAGATTCAAAATGCAAAAGTAGGTCATTGCCAATAATTTTAATATTTTTTATATCTCCACTGGGCCTTGCTTACGACAATTTACCGTTGCACTGATATCTGTTGAACGTCTGTTGGCCTAAAATGTGATCGGCGTACTTTTTGTAAGTCAGTGTCTGAGCCGCCCTGGCCCCTGCGCCCCAGCCATGGAGTCGCCCGGCGCCGTGCTGACCG